TGGCCTCACCTACCTAACCCTTAAATACGCTAGGGCCCCTACAGAGGCAAGCTCTGATTGGGGAACATACTACCTACCAGCGAAGACTGATAGGTTTCTAATAGCGTCTAAAAAGAGCATCATGGCTCCCCAAGGGGGTCTGGGCGGGATCCGGGGAATGCCGCAGGAGCCCGTTTTAAGCAGAGAGTGACACACTTCGTGGTCTTCGAGGTCCCGGAACTCCATTCCCGGGCCACATTTTGAATGCCCAGAGCCAACAGTAGGCCACTTGGTGCTCTGAGAATTCCCAGAACTCCATGCCCGGACCCCGTTCTGGATGCCCAGAGCCAACTGTATGCCACTTCGTGCTCTTCGAGTTCCCAGAACTCCATTCCCGGACCACATTGTGAATGCTCGGAGCCCACTGTAAACAACTTCGTGCTCTTTGAGTTCTCCGAACTCAAATCCCGGGCCACATTTTGAATGCCCGGAGCCAACTGTAAGCCACTGCGTGGTCTTCGAGTTCCCAGAACTCCATACCGAAACACCAGGGAACGGGGTCTCACGGAGGCAACAGTCCACAACTTACGGCATCCGCGCGTACCCGCGCGCAGACCGCCCAAACACATGGGTTGGCACGGCGGCGGGACTTGCCGCAGGCAGCTGGATACATCTGCGGCGGGCCCTACAGCCCGCGCATCTCGTACTCTGTCACCTCGAGCCACTTCTGACAAGACAGCGTGAACCACCGCTCACGGCGCTGATGAGCTTCAAGCAACGCCGCCCCTTCCGCGCGAGCTGCCGCTGGAGTCATGTGCTTTGCGCTCCCTTCCTTGTAAGAGGTGGGCGAGTAGGGCTTCCCCTTATTCAGGTACACGCTGAGAAGTTGCTTATTGTATTCGCATAGCTCGTAGCATATGTCGAGAAAGGACCGATGGGCGTACTGCGATTTGTACTTTTTGCGAAGGTACTCGACGATGAACGTCAAAGCATTGAGGTATTCGTCTTCCTTGTCTGCAGCTTTCGCCTCCTCGTTGAGGAAGAAAGGCCGGTTCAGCAAAAAATTCGCCGTCCGGCACGGGCCCACGCCAATAACGCGAATTTTCTGGAACGCCGCAGTCACGGAGTCAACATTGACTGGGCCGATGCGCGGCGCGAGCACGGGCAACGTGGCCACGAAGTCCGAGAGGAGCTCCTTCGCCCGAAACCCGGAGCCACCATGCCCCGGAATGCCCTGCAAGGCGCGAAAGAAATGCGCCAAATCCCACGAGGACGCGAGCTCCTGCAAGGGAGCGCGAATTCTACGAGAGAACATCTGCAATTCCGCGATAAACACATGGAACCCTTCTAACTTCATCTCTTTACGGAGGCGCATCGGATTCACAAAGGTCCCGAAGACGTCGCCTTTCACCGATGCGTAATACGTGAAAAGGTCATTCAGATTTGTGACGTCGCCCGTCTCCAATGAGACCTGGGCCCACACGAACGTACCAGCTTTCAGGTCCTCCCGCACGCTGTGGGACAGAGTATTCCGAACGATGAAAATGTTCACCATGAGCTGCACAAGTTGCTGAAGAAGGTCATCGTCGGGTCTGACGTGCGTCCGGTAGTGTCGGTACGCAAATTGGGACGATGGCGTGTCGTCGCGGCACCGCCTGTTCACTCGCGCAACGAGACACATGTCCTTGGACAGCGCTTCCTTTTGCTTCGCGTCCAAAAACGCCGCCGATACGAGATCCCGCCGGTCGAACCACTCGACCATCGCGGCGACCCGTGACGCGAACGTATCAATCCCCCACCACTGCGGCTCCCCTATTCGCACAGAAAGCGCGCCGACCTCCCGCGGCACCGTCGACCGTGGCACAAAATCCTTGTGTAACATCTGGGCGTCCGTCAGGATCGTCAAAGGCGTGTCGAAGTCAGTGCGAAACCCACGCCCGCCCAATCCGGGGGAATCCTCTGCGTCCTGCGGAACAAACTTTTTCTTGGCATCACTTATGACCTTCAACCGCGTGACGAGAGCATCTATGCTCGCAGGATCCAAGGACTCGGCTAGCATCGCGATCCTGTCCACTGCGATTTCGCCGGCAGGATATGATTTCGAACTCGAGGATGACCACGCGGCCGCGTCGGCCAGGTCCCTGGCGGTGACCTTTCTCCACTCAATACAACCCTCCCGGTAAGTATGCGTTTTCTTCTTAGGCCGCTCGGTCACAAGCAACTGGTCGCAGTATGAACATTCCAGTTGCCCACGAATTCGTTTCAATTCCAGCGCTCTCTCAGTTGGGCCACGTTTCCGCAACTGCCACAGGCATGGGGAATCCGATCAGCCCCTTGGGGCGTCAATGGTCTGGAGCAGCCCCTCTGTTAAACCCCCTTTCTTCTCTCCTTCCTTCCTCCATTCTTGCATGTTCCCTCCTGCTACTCATCTTCCTCGTGCCGCATTGCTGCTCCTTTTCCTCCAGCTCCTCCTGCTGCTGCTCCTTCGGCACCTCCTGCTGCTCCTCCTCCGTCTCCTCATTATCCTCCTCCTCATCCTCCTCGTCGTCGTCCTCCTCCTCCTCCTCCTCCTCCTCCTCCTCCTCCTCTTTCTGCCTTTACCCCCAAGATGGCCCCAGCAACAACTCCACTTCCAGCAGAGCCACCACAAGCAGCATCACCAGAAGAACCGACACCGCCACCAGCAGAGGCACCAACACCACCACAAGCAATAGCAACAACGGCATGAACAGCAAACGCACTCGCAGCAGCATCGATAGGAGACCCAGCAACAGCAGAAGCCCCTGCAGCACCAGCACTCATGAAATCAGCAGCCCAAACATCAGCAGCAGCATGAACATCAGCAGCACCTCCAACACCAGCAGAACCGACACCATGTGCTCCCAGAGCTCTCAGAGTTCACCCGTGTTGCCCGCGCTGTTTCAATATGAGTGTCTCCGATTCCCTTCTCCTGTCAGCTATCAGGGGATAGTTTCTGAATAGGCAGGTGGGGGTACGCGAAGCGACAAGGATTCAGAAATCGGCCGACTGGCGTGTCACCGAACTGCACAGGCGCATCGCTCCCACATGCCGCTTCTGGCGATGCCGCCCTGGCTCCCGATGATTGTACACCTGCGTCCATGCCACCACGGAGGCCCGCAGTGAGGTAGAAAACGGAATCCCTTCGGACAGTGTAATACAAAAGGGTTTGAAAATCGTCCACCTCGCGCCCTGACAACACAAGGCGCTGATATTGTGGAGGGATTCCTGTCTTATCATATATCTGCATCTTCATGCTGCCAATAGTGTCACAGTCCACGACGGCCAGCACAACGTGCTTGCCTGATAAGAGCCTCACCAAGACCGAGAAACATGTGGGCGGGACCGCCACTGTCGCAATAAAAAGGTCCGCCACCGTGCCCTCAGCACGTAGTCGAAGCTCAAGGCCCATGCAGACGTGCATGCTTGAGAGTTCGAAGGGTTGAAAGGGTTTATAAGACCCAGACCCCGGGTTTCCCGGGGAGTTCCGGGAACTCCCGGGAACTCTTGGGAACGCTTGGGACTTCCTGGGATTCCCCGGAGCTCCCGGGAACCCCCAAGAAGTCCATGAGGGCCCCAATAGGCCTTCCAGACGGCCCGAGAAGGCCCCCAGCCAATGAATGATCGGCCCAAGACGCACAAGACGGCTACAAGACGGCCCAAAAAGCCGCCAGGACGCTCCAACATGCCTCCATGAGGCCTCCCAAGAGGGCCGCAAGAGGCAAACATTATTGATTTTCTTTTGGTGTTTCAAGGTTTTCGAGGTTTTTGCGTTTTCGGCTTCCCAACGCTCGACGACGCCGCAGAGACCTCCAGGACCAAGACGTCCGAAGAGGCTCCGAAGACGGCCCCAAGATGGCCCAGGAGGGCTCCAAGACGGCCTCAAAGACCTACAAGACGGCTCAAGAGGCTCCCAAGACGGATCCAACAGGAGGCCCAAACGGAGGACCCGCACAAAAATGTCGGGCCCTCGGCCCCAAGACAGCTCCAGCACGCCCCAACAGGCCGCGAATCGAGCTCAAGAGGACCCTGATGGATCTCCTTGAACGTGGGCCCAAGCCAGCTTCCAAGGATCCCACAAGCGTCCCCCCAGAGTGCAAAAAGGCGCACAGGAGGCTCTAAGAGGCACCCAAGAGCTCTCCGAGAAGTTTCCAAGAGATTCGTAAGAGGCTCCCAGAGCTTCCACGGCCCACCCAAGACATTCCGAGAGACCCCTGGGACCACATACAGGCCCCCTCACGGTTCCAGAGGCCGCCAAACAACTTTCGGAGAACCTTTTCGCCTTTCAAGGCGTTATTCTCCTTGACCTCCTACGCTTCCCCCTCCTCCACAACCTCCGCCTCATCATCATCATCATCATCATCATCATCGTCATCACCACCACCACCGCCGCCGCCGCCGCCACCACTACCACCATCATCATCATCATCATCATCATCATCATCATCATCATCATCAGCATCATCATCATCATCATCATCATCATCATCATCCTCGTTATCAACAGCAACAGTCACGTCATCGCCATTATCCGCCATACCCTTCTCCTCCTCATCCGCCCACGCCTCCTCCTCCTCCCTCCTCTCTCCTGCCCCTCCCCCTCCTCCTCCTCCTCGGATGCCTCCACGTTTCCCCCCCCTCCTCCTCCTCCCACTCGTCGTCGTCGGCATCATCGTCATCATTATCGTCATCATCATCGTGAGCATCGTCGTCGGCCTCCTCATCCTCATCGTCATCGTCATCGTCATCATCATCATCATCATCATCATCATCATCATCATCATCATTCTACTCATCGACAGCGTCATCCTCATCATCGTCGTCGTTATCATGCGATTCGTCCGCATGTCCGCCAATCCTCCTGCTCCTCCTCAATATCATCTCCATCATCCTCCTCATAATGCCACGGGTATCATCGTCATCACCCACACCATCACGGTCATCATCCTGCAACTCATGGTGCTGAGCTGGCACGGTGGCGGAACTTGCCGGAGGCAGCTGGAAACAGTCCAGAGGCAACCTGCGTGTAGGTCAGGTCCGGGACAAGCTGAGGGAGGTCGCACTTACCACCAGAAGTACTAACGCACGCCACGGCGGAGCCCCCGCTCCTGAGCAGAACGGTGTTGCACAATCCAGCGGCAACCTGCGTGTAGGTCAGATCCACGGACAGCGCGGGGAGGTCGCGCAGGCTGTCATCATTCCAGCCGCATGGCACGGCGACGCCGTCGCTCCTGAGCAAGCCAGGGTAGTGAAGTCCAGCGGCAACCTGCGTATAAGTCAGGTCCAGGACCAGCTGAGGGAGGGCGCACTGACCACCAGTATCCCTGCCGCACGCCACGGCGGAGAAGTCGCTCCTGAGCAGCACGGTGTCGCACAATCCACCGACAACCTGCGTGAAGGCCATGCCCACGACCAGCTGAGGGAGGTCGCCCCCACCTCCAGTATTCCTTCCGCACGCCACGGCGTAGCCCTCGCTCCTGAGCAGAACGGTGTTGCACAATCCAGCGACAACCTGCGTATAGGAAAGATCCACGACCAGCTGAGGGAGGTCGCACTGATAGGCACTATCTCTACCGCACGCCACGGCGAAGCCCTCGCTCCTGAGCAGAACGGTGTTGCACGATCCAGCGACAACCTGCGAGTAGGTCACGTCCGCGACCAGCTGAGGGAAGTCGCACTGACCAACAGTATCCATACCGCACGCCACGGCGGAGCCCTCGCTCCTGAGCAGAACTGTGTTGAACAATCCAGCGGTAACCTGCGTGTAGGTCAGATCCACGGACAGCGCGGGGAGGTCACGCAGACTGTCATCATTCCAGCAGCATAGCACGGCGACGCCGTCGGTCCTGAGCAGGACGGGGTAGTGAAGTCCGGCGGCAACCTGCGTGTAGGTCACGTCCACGACAGGCTCAGAGAGGTCACACTGACCGCCAGTAGTCCTACCGCACGCCACGGCGGAGCCCTCGCTCCTAAGCTGAACGGTGTTGCACAATCCAGCGACAACCTGCGTGTACATCAGGTCCCGAACCAGCTGAGAGAGGTCGCACGGACCAACAGTATTCCAACCGAACGCCTCAGCGGAGCCCTCGCTCCTGAGAAGAACGGTGTTGCACAATCCAGCGACAACCTGCATGTAGGTCACGTCCACGACAAGCTGAGGGAAGTCGCACTGACCACCAATATTCCTACCGCACGCCATGGCGTAGCCCTCGCTACTGAGCAGAACGGTGTTGCACAATCCAGCGGCAACTCGCGTGTAGGTCAGGTCCACGACCAGCTGAGGGAGGTCGCACTGATCAACAGAATGCCTACCGCACGCCACGGCGGAGCCCTCGCTCCTGAGCAGAACGGTGTTGCACACTCCAGCCGCAACCTGCGTGTAGGTCAAATCCCGAACCAGCTGAGGGAGGTCGCACTGACCACCAGTATTCGTACCGCACGCCACGGCGAAGCCCTCGCTCCTAAGCAGAACGGTGTTGCACAATCCAGTGACAACCTGCGTGTAGGTCACGTCCACGACCAGCTGAAGGAGATCGCACTCACCAACAGTATTTCTACCGCACGCCACGGCGGAGCCCTCGCTCCTGAGCAGAACGGTGTTGCAGAACCCAGCGACAACCTACGTGTCCATCAGGTCCCGAACCAGCTGAAGGAGATCGCCCTGACCACCAGTATTTCTACCGCACGCCACGGCAGAGCCCTCGCTCCTGAGCAGAACGGTGTTGCACAATCCAGCGGCAACCTGCGTGTAGGTCAGATCCGCGGACAGCGCGGGGACGTCGCACAGACTGTCATCATTGTTGCAGCATGTCACGGCGACGCCGTCGCTCATAAGCAATACAACCTGCGTGTATGTCAGGCCCGGCACCAGTGGAGGGAGGTCGCACTGACCATTCGCATTTGACCGTCGCATCCCGAGAAAGACCTCAGGACCGGCTTGAGACGAAACAGCGCCGGATAGGCCCCCATAAGCCCGAAGATGCCCTTCTCG